TCCTTAGACAGCTTCAAAAAGGCTGTTAAGATGGATCTCTTCCGGCAGACCTTTCCTGATTAATTTTCCTAGCCCAGGGCTTCCCGGTCCCCTCGGGTCATCCGGGCCCCTTAGGTTACCCAGCCTCCTCTTTCTCTCGTGGCCCCATCATTCATTCTGATGGATGAGGAAGGTTTCAGAGATACCCCGGGTTTTATTCTGTTCTGTTTGTTTTGTCATTCTGTAGGGTTTTTAATGTTCTTATAAATGCTTTGATTTTTTAAATCATGTAATGTTTAATACTGTTTTAAGGGGGGGTATTCTGTTTATTGTAAATTGTGTTTTAGGCTGTAAATCGCTCGGATTGGATTACCATTGGGCGGTATATAAATAAATTTTATTATTATTATTATTATTATAGTATATTGTGGCACCAGAGCTCTTTGACAGAGAAAGCTCAATGTCTCAGAAAAAACTACAATTCCCATGATTCCCTAGCACTAAGCCAGGGCAGTTAAAGCGGATTCAAGTTGCATTATTTCTGGCAGTCTGCGACTGTTTCCTTGCCTTGCCTTTTCATCCTTTTTGACATGTCTGCATTTTCTTAGCCCCACCTGTGTCTGGTTGCTTCCCCCACACATTGCACAGCCATGATTCATTGTAGTTCCTCCCTCTTCCATCTAGCCTTTAGGGTGAGCACAGGTTCTTTAGCATAATTTTCCTTTGCTTCATCTTTTACATTGGCAGTCTGTAAAGGCCCATTATCTGTAGACTGGAAAAGGATCTCCAGGTTTTTAGAGAGAGAGCTCCCCCAGTGTCCTACCTGAAAATGCCAGAGACTGAAACTTTCTGCAGGTAATTCATGTGTTGCAACCAATATGGTGTAGTGGTTTGAGCATTGGATTATAACTGTGGACAGGGTTTGAATACCTGTACTCTAGCCACAATGTTGTGAGTTTGATCCCAGGGCTCCAGGGTTGATTCAGGGGCTATGCAGATGGGCGGCTCTGGGCCGTGGCAACTGCATACCGCTGCCCCGATTCTCCCTTTTGCTGCCCTTAAAAGAGTGGCAAAATGCTGATCCTTTTAGGGGTGGCAAAAGGCTGCCCTAAGAGCTGGTGCTGCAGCTCTTCCGCACCCTTTCAGCACAGCGTGTCTACACGCTGCGCCAGGAGGGCGTGCTGATGCTGTGCGCTGTGCATATGGGCACACTGTGAGAGAATGGCTGAGTATGTGGAAGGTGAATGGGTTCCTGGAGTGACAAGGCCCTGAAAGAACCAAATAAAATGGATGCCATGCAAAGCATTATTGAAGGAGGAACTTGGATGGTGGAAGCGAGGAATGGGAGAAACTTGGCCTCGGAAGCGGAGATGCTGACCAAGCATAACTAGGACAATACAATCTGTCGAATATGAATGATGTTGATATAGCTGAGTGAGATCCGGCACACACAGAATGTACTGTAACTTGTGCAAAGAACTGGACTGTTCTGAACCCATGGTGAGCAGAACATGTTTATTTCAAGAAAGAAGAGGAAAAAAGGGTATAAAAGGCAGTACTTCTCCCACTTCACCTTGTGGTTCCTGATCCGCGGCAACCAGGGGCCATCCACCCTTCTTGGAAGCTTGATCAACTTCCAGTGAAGGATCGTGAGTATGAATGTGTATGAATGTGTGAGTGAATGAAAAGAGCTCTTGATACTTTTTGTTATATTGAGTATCTGATATTAGAAATGATTGTTTTAGGTGTCTCTGTTTCTGTGTTCCAATAAATGTTACATGCAAAGTGTCTAAACCCAGATCTGGTTTCCTATGTGTCTTTGTTGAAAGTCCTATAGTCTAGGGTGGCTGAATTTCTCTCTGGATTAAAAGAACAACAGAGAACCTCGGTTCATGACAACACGGTGTCAGGACGGCATCGGGCTGAGTTTGGGGCAGCCGGCATGTGGCAGCCCCACCCCAACTCCACCCCCAGGCCCTTTAGTCTGGTCTGCAACGCCCCTCAGTCTTCCATCCTTGGTAAAATGAGTACCTAGCTTGTTGGGGGCAATTGGTTTACAGATTGTAAACTGCTTAGAGAGTGCTGAGTTCACTATAAAGTGGTATAGAAATGTAAATGCTATTGCTATTGCTACCTGCTCAGCTAAGAGACCCACAGGGTGACGCTGGGCAAGTTACATGCTCTTGCCTCAGAGGATAGCAATGGCAAAAGCAAACCCCCTCTGAAGAAACTTACCAAGCTAACCCTGAAAAGGACTTGAAGGCATACAACAACAACTATTGAACTACAGTCCTTCTCCACTGTGTTATCATTATTTCAATGGGTGCCTATCAAGAAAATATTTTCACAGCATTCCTTTTCCTCTTCTCTTCACAGTTGCTTAGCAGCAAAGAAAGAGCTTATTCTTTTGGGGCTATTAATCCCTTCCCAGTTGGCTGTTTCTGGTGCACTAAGTGTTTAGCAATTACTGAATTATGATTTCACAAGAATGCATCTACACAATAGTATCTCACTTTGTGTTCTTTCTCCTGCCTACAGTCCCTTCAGAGGGTATGTAAAGTTTAACTCCTTCTTTGTCCACAGTAGATGTATTAGAAGTTCTGTCAGCAGACCAAAACATTTTCCCATCAGAAGAATTTAATAGAGTTAAAGTGCTTCTCAATATTTTATTTGTAGGTTAGAACTAAGTATGGCCTTTCAATATTGCAAAATTAGAGGTAAAACATGTTTTTACACCATTTATATTTATTTATTTTCTTGGCATTTCAATAGCAGTATATAAGGATTGAGAACCAGCATGGTATAGTATTTTAAGCATTGGACTATGTAATCTGGGGATCAGGGTTTGATCAATGCCATGGTTGTTGCTGTTCTGTACCTTCAAGTACTTTCTGACTTGGCAACCCTATCATGAGGTTTTCTTGGCAAGTGTCTTCAGAGGGGGTTTGCCAAATTCCCATAATCTGAGACTGAGACAGTGTGACTTGCTGAAGTTCACCCAGTGGGTTTCCATGGCTGAGCCAGGATTCGAACCCTTGTCTCCAGAGTCCTAGTCCGTGCTCAAACCACTACACCACACTGGCTCTCTAATGGCATGGTTGCACTAATGGATGTCACTAAAAGAATTTCAGCAGCAATCCCTACTCTGGTCTTTTTAAAAAACTTCTGCTCATTGTTTCCTCTTCTTTAGCTCTGTTCGTTCTCACAGTGAAGAGAAAGCAAGACATTCTCTTTCTCCCAACTATTTGAAAAATGCAATTGTCCTGCAAAGGGTAATACTATAAAAATTTCTCTAGTGTCTTCCATAGAAATTAATATCTCAAATCTGACTACAGCATAATCTCTAGGGAAACTTTAGGGAGTCTACCACTTAGTGATGGATGCAGGTTACACATCTCCAAAAAGAAGCACTATCCTACTGATGTGAAGAAGAAAAATAGAAAACAAAAGAGGATGATTGAAATGACATATGCAGGAAAAAGGGCATGACTGAAGCTGGAAAAAACTTTGCAGAGGAACACATTATACTTCACTGCATGTATTAGTTGTCTCTATTCTGCATCCTGCTATTGGAAATGATTTCTGTTATCAAAATTTCTAGGTTCCCTCATTGCACGAAAAGCATAACAGTCAGTTCCCTAAAAGTTATTCCTATGTAGGATAATCATTTTGTTGGTGTAATGACAAAGAGATATATGAAGTGGCCTGTGCCTTATAATTAGTGTCCTTGAAACTGAAAATCAGGAAAGAGGAAGGAAATGTTTTGTAACACTGACTTACTGCTGAGACAGTAAAATGGAACACAGCAAAAGAAGCTTCAGAAAACATACATGCTGCAGAACAAATATATGTTAAATAGTTTGTTTCCCTCTTCTTGCAAAAGAGTAAGTTAATTCAGAATGTCCTAATTGAACTATTAAAATTAATTTTATTATAAAAATTGACATATTTTTTAAATTACAGTTGGCCCTCCACATTTGCAGCTTTGACTTTTGTGGATTTGATTATTTGCAGTTTTCATTAATATGTTCTCTCTAGGAATCTCTGAGTCTTCCAGTGCAATTCTGCTGAAAGTTGACCATAGAACTGAGCTGGAGAACCTAGAAGTTCCTAGAGAAAACACTTCTCTAGGCATTTGTAAGTCCTCCAGCATGATTCTGTGATCAATGTCTGGCAGAGATTGACTATAGACTGGCACTGGACAATCTGGGAATTCCGAGAGAGGTGCTCTCTCAGGTAAAAAGAATAGTATGTTGTTGTTGTTTTTTTAAATTTGCAGTTTTTCCATTAATGGGGGTCTTTTACCACTAACCGCTGCGAATGTGGAGAGACCACTGTATATTTTTTAATTATCATATATTTCAACATTATTAATAATGGCCAAAATTCTGTATCAGCTACTCTATAATTCTATGACTTGAAGGTATGCACACACATGCATGTGTGCACATGTACGTGTTTCATGTTCACAATTGCTGCTTAGTTCAATGTTGACACTATTGCTACAATCATAACTTCCCACCACCATCCTACTTTACCAAGCATCAGCTACACAGACATTTTACTGATGATCAGAGCACAGTTGAATTATTTTCCATCAGGTCTGGAAATCTTAAAAAGGTTTCTTTTGGTGGGTTGGGTCAGGAGAATTTAATTAAGTAGCTGATACAGAATTCCAGCCACTATCTTTGCTTACTAAAAGAAAATAAACCTTTCTAAGCTTTTCAATAATCTTTTTTCCCTGCAAGTCTGCATTTTTTCCTCTCTCTATTAGCTTGAGCTGTTTGTCTTTCATGGATTATCTATTTAAAACTCAAAGTAATCCTTCAATATGTGTAATTAACCTCTGCATGCTGATTATATTCTTCTCTCTTTAGTTTTGTTTTTTCTTACAGGTTTATGGTATGGTAACTTTACATCTAACAACAAAGCTTTATAACATTCTTCTATAAATCTACAATGTACAAAGCTCGTATCTGGAGATTTTCAAAGGAAGAACCTCTAACTCTAATCTGTTTGAGAGTTCCCGTAAAGACTCTACTGTCTGGGGTCAAAGATTGGGAATACTTCTCTGTTATGTTTAATAGAATTTTGAAAAAGACTTGGAGAAAGTGGCACTATGGGGAAAGCGTTTCTGAAATGGCCAAATAATTAAATAAAATGAATCAATTCCCTAACTGTAGCATTTAAAGTAACACAATAATAAAATAAGGAAAGATATTAGTAATAGGGCAAGCATAAAAGAAGATAATGTGGCAGCTGATTATTTAAAGGCGCTTATTTCAAGTACGGTAACTTCCATGTTTTTTTAACAGGGGTGAGCAACTACTGTGGTCCTGACTGCATCCCCCCTTTTTTTCCAAAAATGATTTTGACTACCAAGATGTATCCACACCTTGTAAGGGAAAATTTCATGACAGAAGGCTGGGCTGTTTTAGGCTGAGGAGAGGCCTTTATTTAACGAAGAATAAATCACAGGTTGGCAGCCCAGAGTGGGCCAAAAATGTAGTAATGCCATTTATAGTTTTTTGGGTTTTTTAAAATCCCATTGTTAAGGGAAAGACTGGGAGCCCTGGGGTCTCAAAATTGTATTGGAAGACACATGCTCCCCATGGGCTTCATGCCTCATGCTTTTAAATATATCTGGGAGGTGCTAGAGCAGGCTTGGACAACTCTGCCTCATCAGCTGTTGTTGGACTACAACTCCCATTATCTTTTACCACTGGCCATCAAGGAGGCCATGGCCCTAAGCCTCTAGGATCTGGAGAGAGCAGTTGAGGATAAGGGGTCTTGGAGATGTCTCATTCTTAGGGATGCCATGAGTTGAAGTCCACTCAAAGACAGTTAACAACAAATATTGGCTAAAATTGATGGGAGTTGCAGTCCAGCAATACCTGTTAATAGAAACAAGCTGAAAGATACTCATATCATACTCATATTTGGTGGCTGACCATCATTCAGTGGCTCCCTTCTTGGGAGCAGCAGTGGGGATTTGTCTAGCTGCCAGCAGCTGCCAGGGAAGATGACTTTTGCCTGTTCCAAAAGATGACAGTAAAATTAATACCTATTGATGTAACAAATAACTATAAAGTAAACATCACGGGAGCATACTATGCTATTAAACAGGCATGCTGACCTGCTAGCTCGAGCTAGCTGTCAATTGCCCTGTGCCAATTGTTTGGATTGTGCAAGCAAGCAAAATCATGTCTTGGGATGGGAATATTTTATGAGTCATAAAAAAGAGCTGCACACAGTCCCAAACCCTCTCTGGGGCTCCTTGAAAAGTCATAAATTGTTGGAGTGCAATTCTCAGGTTGTATGGTGGCATGACAGTTTGGGGCTGTCACATTTCCTTTAGTAACTAGACCCAAAGGAGTACACAATTAGGTAAAATTTCAAAAGATGCTTACACTTCTATTAAAGGTGTAGGATCCTTGTTTCTCCCTCCTTTACATTTCAGCTTGACTGTGTGTGGGCGACAGTTGTATGCAAGGAAAGGAGCTGGTAGCTTCAGGAGGCAACCTACCAGATCTTAAAAGAAGTAACTTTTTTGTGTTGCTAATGAAATTTGCATTTTATTTCCTGGACTTTGTGGCTCTTTGTCTCCCAGAGCCCACATGACTGGAGGAGCAGCCTACCTGCTTGGATATCTCTCCATACCATCTTAACTGAGAGCAGCAACAGTAGCAGCAATAGCTTGACAAAATGCAAGCCTGTGACTAGTATCACCATATTTTTCTCTCTCCTATATGATTTTCAACACTTTTGCCTGATGAAGAAGTCAGTGGAGCTTTGAAAGCTTGCGACATGTATTTTTGTGCCTTTTGTTTGGCCTAATAATGGTATCACTTTTTGTGGATTTTGGATGTTCTTGTACTTTGCTATATGGTCAACACAGCTTTCTCTGGCTATGTCATCTGCAAAGACTTTTTTTCTATTTATTCTCATTAACCTCAACATGGGCCATTAAAATATTACATTGTTCTATTGTTCTGTTAACTCATCTTAAAGTTGCTGTTTGTGTCTTGTTTTGTTATGCTTTTTGGCAATTCATGCTTTCAGCCAGAAACATTCTAATTTCCCCGCAGTATTTTCAACACAGTTTTCTTGAAATTAATAACAGAGTAACCCCACCCTCTGTACCAAGTAACTTTCCTCCCGTGACTCCCCATTGTTTGAATTTTGTGATTACTTGAAGGACAAGCTTCAGATAGATTGTTTTTGTTATCTGTTACTCCTACTGGTACGATTGGTTTTAATGTTTGGAAGACACTTTGAGTCCCACAGCTGGGGGAAAGGGGATAAAAATTAATAATATAATAAGTTGCCTTCTCCTCTTTTGAGGTGAGGGTGGTGGCAACCCCGCAGAGGAAACTGGAAAAAAAATATTCAGATTATTAACTGAGTACCATGTGCTGTAAAACTAAATACCCTAAACTGGCACGTGATTCCGTCTGATCTTGAAAGTTAAGCAGGGTCAACTTTGATTAGTACTTTGATGGGAGGCCATCAATGAATACCAGGTGTCCTTTTTGGGGAAGGAAAAAGCCACCCTTTGAGCTGCCGCGATGGCAGCGGCGGCTCTTTTGTGCCCCTTTGGTGCAGCGTGTATGCACACTGCGCCAAGAGGGTGCAGCATTGGGGCAGAGTTGAGGTGGACTCGGGGCAGCCACCGTGCGGCCACCCCACCTCAACTCCACTACCAACTTTTCTCTTTTAATTAGTCTCAAGGTTGCTACAAGATCCCTTTGCATACTTAGTTTAACAATACTTCTCTTTAATTACATCCATTCATTGCTATTCTGCATCTTTCTATGAATGCATCTACTATATATCCTTTTCTTGTAACTGCAGGTTTTCATCTTTGTTCTTTTGTTATTCTGTTGTGTGTGTGTGTGTGTGGTGTTGTGCACCTTCAAGTCATTTCCAATTTATAATGACCCTAAGGCAAACCTATCATGGGATTTTCTTAGCAAGATTTGTTCGAAGGAGGTTTGCCATTGCCTTCCTCTGAGGCTGAGAGAGTGTGAGGTCCCATGGTGGAGCAGGGATTCAAACCATGGTCTCCAGCGTCATAGTCCAGCACTCAAATCACTACACCATGCTGGCTTATTCACTATATATAACATACATATATTGATACGCGTAGCTGTGTAAATCTGTAGAGAGATCTTGTAGCACTTTTGAGATTAACTGAAAGAAGTTGGCAGCATGAGCTTTTGCAGACTTCAGTCTACTTTCTCAAATGCATCTGAAGAAGCAGACTTTAGTCTACCAAAGCTCATGTTACTAACTTCTTTCTTTCAGATTGGACTTTTGCAGACTGCCAGAAATAGTGCACTTTAAATTGAGGCACTGCCCTGGCTCAGTGCTAGGGAATCATGGGAATTGCATTTTTTTCTGAGACATTGAGCCTTTTCTGTCAGAGAGCTCTGGTGCCACAATAAAATACAGTTCCCATGATTCCCTAGCACTGAGCCAGGGCAGTGCCTCAATTTAATGCGCACTATTTCTGGCAGTCTGCAAAGGCCCATAGTCTCAAAGGGGCTACAAGATATTATTATTATTATTATTATTATTATTATTATTATTATTATTATTATTATTATATCCAAAGGCATCTGAGGAAGTAGACTCAAGTCTACGAAAGCTCATGCTGGCAACAGTTTCTTTCAGTTAGTCTCAAAGGGGCTACAAGATCTCTCTAAGTAAAGGTAAAGGTATTCCCCATTGACAAAGCTGTCAAGTTGTGCTCATCTCCATTACTAAGCTGAAGAGCCAGCATTGTCTGAGTGTGGATCACGTGGCCAGCATGACTGCACAGAACACTGTTTACCTTCCCACCAAAGTGGTACCTGTTTATCTACTTGCATTTGCATGTTTTTGAACTGCTACAGAATCTCTCTACATTATTATTATTATTATAGCCAAATGTATCTGAGGAAGTCTACGAAAGCTCATGCTGCCATCTTCTTTCTTTCAGTTAGGGCCTTTACAGACTGCCAGAAATAAT